TGACGTCTCGCAGCCCCCCAACTTCGCTGGGGAAGAGGCTGAGGGGCGGTCGGGAGGCGAGGAAGGAGCTGGCGGGGCTCTGCGCAAACCCAAACTTTCCCCAAACTTGTTTAATGTGGGATGATTTATTTGAGTTGGAGCTGACCTCTCTTGTCTCGCTGTCCTAGAGTTAGGATATTTGACAGTAATGAAGAGTGATAGATTGCTCCCGCTCAGCTAAGCAGCTGATGCATTAATTATAAATTGTGGTATGGCTAATATAAAGTTTGCTCTGGTGTGGGGAGGTTGGGGAGCTGGAGGCAATAATTTTACCGAGGTGGCTGAGGGGTACGCAGCACCGGACGCTCAGCAGTGCAACACAATGGGTTTACTGCATCCAAAGGCGGCCATTTTGTTGCAGTTGCTATTTTTATGCTATATAGACATATAGATATAGATGCATATATACAGGGCGAGACGGAGAGAGCGCTCCCTCCCCGCCCCGGGATGCAATGTGCTTGGATGCTAAAATTCAATCTGTGCATTTATCTGTTTTGTGTGTGCGTGTGCGTGGTTTTGCTTTTGCTGTTCTGGTGGTGGTGTTCTGGGGTGTGTGCGTGTGTGGTGGTGGTGTTTTTCTTTTTCTTTTTCTTTTTTAACAGACCCCCTTGAAATCCCCGATAGTGGTAACGGTGGATCTAGGCGGCTGAGGACGGCTTACACCAACACCCAGCTTTTGGAGCTAGAAAAAGAATTCCATTTCAACAAGTATCTCTGTAGACCAAGGAGGGTTGAGATCGCAGCTTTGCTGGATTTGACTGAGAGACAAGTCAAAGTCTGGTTCCAGAACAGAAGGATGAAGCACAAGAGACAGACCCAGTGCAAGGAGAACCAAAACAGTGAGGGGAAATTTAAGAGCCTAGAGGACCCGGAGAAAGCGGCAGAAGAAGAGGAGGAGGAGGAGAAATCCCTCTTTGAACAAGCCCTCAGCAACGTCTCCGGAGCTCTTTTGGAAAGGGAAGGTTACACTTTCCAGCAGAATGCACTGTCTCAGCAGCAGGCTCCCAATGTGCACAATGGAGAGTCCCAAAGTTTCCCCGTTTCGCCTTTAACGAGCAATGAGAAAAATCTGAAACATTTTCAACATCAGTCACCCACTGTTCAAAACTGCCTCTCAACAATGGCCCAGAACTGTGCAGCTGGCCTAAACAATGACAGTCCTGAGGCCCTAGATGTCCCTTCTTTACAGGACTTTAGCGTTTTCTCCACAGATTCCTGCCTGCAGCTTTCAGATGCAGTTTCCCCCAGTTTGCCAGGATCTCTGGACAGTCCCGTAGATATTTCTGCTGACAGTTTTGACTTTTTTACAGACACACTCACCACAATTGACTTGCAGCATCTGAATTACTGAGAATTAAAGACGTCCTCTCAAGGGTCCTGCCTTCTCCTCCTTATTCTTCTTTATTTTTCCAGTGAATTAATTTTATTCCCCCCCTCCCCTTTTTCTCGGTCAGTATTTTCTGTTTATTACCTCCCTTTGCTGTGTTCGAGAGCCATTTTACCGTTTCTTATGAAGTTTTAGTTGTGTTCAGTTTTAACCGAGCCACATTCTAGGTCCTTCTATGAAAGCAATATATGAGGTCTGTAAGAAAGTGATCATATAGGAATTGTATCTTCACTTTCTTTTTATTTTTGTATTACATTAGGATGCGTTGTCATAAGTATTTTTGGTAGAATAAATTCTTGTTTGCTACAAGAAGCTTTCTCTTTTTTCTTTCTCTTTCTCCCTTTCTCTTTCTCTTTCTCTCCTTTCAAGACTGATAACATAACGGATATTTCTCCCCCTGCCTTCTATTATTAATTTACTAATAATGAAAATTCAACATTCTGACTATAATCTCTCCCCTTTTGGAAAGTACATGTTTTAGAGAGGAAAAAACACTGTCAAACTCTTTATTGCAAGGGTTCTCACAAGAAAAAAACACAAACTAAAACAACTTAGATAGAGGCTTCTTCCTTTTAATATATAAACGTAGCATGTTATCTCCGTGCGGATACAAAGCTTGGATATTCTAAACTGTAACAAAAGCATAACGGTGCACTTTTTTTTTGTTGCAGGCAAAACATAAGCTAGACTTGGTTGGAAAAGTGTTTCCTGCAGAAACTAGCCTGTTACATACACGAAGGGCTCTTTTCGGAAAAAAAATCCTATTTTTCTAGAATACAGTACTTAGCAGCCAGCAAGCTGTTTCAGGAAGCGTATCTTAAAATATAAAACCTCACAGAGAGTGCGTTTGATTCGTGTCCACGTGCTGAGCGGTCCAAGAAAACAGCCCTAAAAAGAGAGGAAAAAAAAAGTTATTGCCTGCAAAATCAAAAAGGTGCCATAAAAGCATTAAAAAAAAGCATTAGGGAGAATACACCCTCCACTTGCTTATTTTGAGGGAAAGTGCGGGGACCCAGCGCAAGGTATTTTCTCTTTAAACCCGATTGCGAGCGGAATGGCTGATAACGAAAAGGGGGAACTCTTACTTTCCGAGTAGAAATTTCCTCAGGGCTCCCCGCTCTCTGCTTGAGGCAGCAAAGATGGGCGTAAAAAACCTCCAGCAAATTGCCTGCGACTCGCTGAGCGGCATTGCCGGAGCCCGGAGCGGGGGGCGAGCCGTGTCCGGCGGGCTGAAGCCGAGCAACAGATGCGAGCCGGCGGCTCCCGGCTCCGGGGGCGAGCAGAGCCCGAGGGATCGTTGGTCCCTGGCTGTGTATGTCTCTGCGTGTGTGAGTGTGAGTGTGGGAGTGTGAGTGTGCGTGTGCACACGAGAACGCAGCCTGAGCGAGGGTTTGGGGAAAGCACTTCGCTGCCCGTCCGTGCGAGGAGTGCTGTCTCCCAGCCCTGCAACACGTTGTGGAGCTGAGCTGCGTGGGTTATAGCTGGAAGGGCTGAACGCAATTCTTCCGAAAGTCATAAATCAAACTCTTTCTATGAATGAGAATGTCATCAAAGAGATCAATTGCAGGAACACATGCACAAATAAAAATCCTCTTACGTATTTGCCGGGGCTGGGGATCCCCGTCTAAAACCATTAAGTGAGAAGGCGTTTAGTCATAATTCATTTTTATTGCTCTTTTAAAACAACAGCTTGGCTGAGCTGCGGACGCGGCAAAACCTCGGCCCTGCTTCTTGTCCTTCTCTCTGCTCCAGCCCCGGCTCTGCGGAAAGCGAGTAGCCTCACCGGTATTTTAACTCCTGTGGCACTGGGTTAAACTGGATTGCAATGTGCGGGTATGGGCTGGGATTTCTTTTGTGCCTAGATATCTGAATACTGCTAACGCTTAAAAAACAAAACAAAACAAAACAAAAGAAACAAAGAAAAATATGCTACCAGATTTAAACTTTTCCCACACTCGGTTTAAACAAATCGGGCGATTCAGCAGACAGGAGCCGCCTAAGTCTCTCTCGATAAGCCCTAGGGCCATAGCGGGGGTACTGGGGGGTGGGAGGGCATGCGAGATCTCCCACGAAAAAGCCTTAAGCACCGGAATTGCCCCCTTCTCTCCCAGCTCTGGGCAGGAAATGGCACTTTCTGCACCCCGGCCCGGAGCGAGCCACAAAGGGGGCTCGGAGGGGAGAGGGGCCCGCCGGGCGCCTCGGAGCGGAGAGGGGGCAGCTCCACTCGGCGGGTGGGGGAGGGGCATTTTTCCCTCTGCTCTGGCCCTCCTTATTATGTTGCCCCCATGCACAGTATTGGCAGCAAAAATCCGAGGCACTGTGAGAGAGACAATGTAACAAAAGAGAGGGATCTCTGCTGAACAATGGCACGAATATACGAGAAAACAAACAAACAAACAAAAAAAGATTCCGGGATGCAGGAGGCTGTAAGAGAGGTGTTGTAATTTGGCAGGATTTACGGGTAAACCCGATCTATTTATAGCAAAATATGCCTTTTTCTTGGCCAGCTGTTGTAAAAAAGCCCTGAAAAGACGCCAGCTCTTTTATTAGTAAACAGTCCCAGCGGCCTGCCTTTTCCTCTGCCTTATGCAGTATTTATCACAACTGCTTTACAAGAATGAAATAAATGTGTTTACATCCGTTACCATAGCCAAAAATGGTGCCGTATAATTCCATAAATGCCTCTGGAGTTTTGTTGTTACTCCTCCCCGCCACGTCCCCACCGGAGTTTAAGAAACCGAACCTTTCCAGAGGGCTCTTACTCATTCGTGCCTGCGCAGTAAATGAAAGCAAACAGAAATACTAAGGGCATATGGTTAAGCATGGGCAGTCCCTCAGTTTTTGCTGGCCGCAGAGAGGCCTTGCAGATGGAGTGGGATAAGGGCTGACCTGACAGCAGTAGGAGAGCCTTGCACCCAGGAGAGGATGTTGTAGTTCAGATGGGAGGAGCTTGTGGGTTTGCGTGTGTGTGTGTGTGTGTGTGTGTGTGTGTGTGTGTGTGTGTGTGTGTTAAGTGTTTGTGAGCAGGGAGAGGTGGCAGGGTAGAGAAGCTTTTTGGGCTTCAGAAGAAAACAACAAAGCCTGAGAACCTAGCGATGTACGATCGGGCTGGAAATGCACCTGCAGGAATACAGAAGGCAGCTGCTCACGGAGCTGCTGCTGCTAGTGGGAGTATTAGTTCTTACCCATCTCTCCCCTAGGTTAACCTTTCGCAGGACGCCTCTCTGAAGTTTGCTGAAATCGGTTTGTTGGTGCCGTCCCCTCTCCCTACAGATGGATAGGTGCCCTGGGACGGGTGGATGCCCGATCTATACCTCCCCTTGCCTTTTTTGCATACGCAAAGCGAGTATGAGGTCGCAATTCAAATCCCAGCCGCCATCCCTCCTTTTCTACCCATGGACCCTTTTTGGGGGAGGGGGGGAAGGGGGAGTTGGAGTCGATGCTCAGTGCGGTTCCCAAGGGTCCTGGGGCCACCTCTGCCATTGGCCATCTGCCACCTCCC